CACACACACACACACCTCCTCCCTCCCCTCCTTCTCATCCTCGTCCATCACATCATCACTTATACTACACGTCTTAGCACAACCGCCTCATCTACCTTCTCTCCTCACACTTCGTTCTTGACTTTTCATCTCACTACTCCGTCTCCCATGTGATGTTCATATACAATTGAAATTTGTAAAACTTATCATGTGGGGTTATCCGGTCCTTTTATTTTCAGGAATTTCGCCAAAGATCTGAGGGCTAATCTGCCAGATGTCATTATCCTCTTCCGGAACAGGTGGAAGATGTTCTTCATGTACCGTAGCTGCGCGGAGAAGGTTGATCAAAACCTTGCGAGGGACATGACCAAACTGATGGTGCAAACGTCTCACACCAATGCGGACTCTCTGAGGGAGCTTGCGCCACTGGCGGCGTCTCTCAGACTCCTCAAGAGGTAGTCCTGGTGAACAGGTTCATCACGAAGGTAGATCTCTCCACATCTCGGTGAGACTCCAAGTTCCGCCGCAATCGCCAAGAGCCGTCCGTCCCAGGACTGGAAAGCCGGAGTCAGAGCCATCTCGAGATTCGAGAAGATCATCAAGTGAGACTCCAGCATCATGGCCGAACGTAGCAAGCAATCTGGACGATTTGCCGCTATCAATCCGACAACATTTGGAGAGAGCTTCGCAACTTGCAGAGCAAGATCCTTCGACAACTGCTAGCTTAGCAGCTGGTTTTTTTGCACGGCACACTGAAGACAATGAGAAGCGAGTGCTTCGCAGCATTGACTTCGAGACAGCCTCACCAGAGACCCAGGAAGGGCTTCGCAAAGCAATGAATGGGAGAAATTCCTTCATCTCGGAGCCGTTGTTGTGATTGAAGGAGCCGAGAAAGACGCATTGTTAAGGCAAGGACATGTCATGATTCCAAGCAATGGGTCCATGTAGACAAGAATGGGTTCAAGAAGCATGCACCTGACTACCAGCGGAAGTGGAAGAGCCGATTAGCGCCGTGTGGAAACTTTGAACAGACAGAAGGCATTCGCTCTGATTCTCCGACCGGAGATAGCGATTTGCGCATGATCATTACTGCATGGGCTTCCATTGTTGGAACCAAATTGCATTCAGCAGATGTAAGTAATGCCTATTTTCAGTCTGAGCCATTGGATCGAGTATTTCTTTTGCGACAGCCACGAGGCGGACTGCCTCAAGTTGATCCAAACGCCGCACTGTTGGTACGAGTTCCTGTGTATGGACTCACAGACAGTGGAAGATCATTTTGGCTTCGCTTGTCGTCCGATGCCAAGAAGGCTGGGCTTACGCCAAGCAGGCCAAGCATCATTTACCCTGCATTCTTTTACAAGCTCGATGGAGAGAACCGATGCGTTGCCATGCTGACAACACATGTCGATGACTTGTTGTATAGCTATTTGCCAGAAGCAAAGGAAGTGATGGATGTTTCGTTGAGTTCCTATGAACTACCAGATATATTTTTACTTATAAGTCCTGTTACGGTACTTATATTTTTTCTGTGGCGTAAGTCTACTTATGCTAGTTATGGACCTTACAAAACTAGTAGCCTAAGTGCGACGGTAAGTAGAACATTGTGCTTTTGAAGGTTTGATTCTTCTGTCCGCGCCTGTAAATTCAACCTAGCTGCAGGCTGCCTGAACTGCCATGGCTGGACTCCATGGACTTGGCCGCGGAAGTCTGTCTGGGACCGCGCTAGAGACTAATATCTCTCCGGAGGAGTCGGAGATACAAAACAAGAAGCCCCAAATCTATGCGCGGCGCGGAAGCACCCAACCCCAAAAAATCCAACACTCTCCCGCCCCGGTCTTCTCACAAATTTCCCACAAATGATTTCCCAATTTTTCAATCTTCCCACAATTCTCCTTATTAAAGGGCCTTTCCCACGTTCTACCTCTCAAAAGTCTTCCCACAAATTCCCACAGTTTTCCCACAATTCCGGGCGCTCCGTTTTCTTGCGCCCCGTAAGTGCTCTATAGTGGCCCAATGAGCCCGATAGAGGCTTCCAGCTTGCATACCTCAGAGACCAGCACGCCCACCGCATCCAAGGCAAGATGTCGATCGCCGGCTGTGCTTCACACTAAAAATGCACCCACAGCCTATATGCTTGAGCCCAGCTGCCCCACGAAAACCAATGATGGCGTCAGGTTGACCTGCCAGGACAACCCTCAAAACCTCTATTCCCATAAGTAGGATAAGTAGAAAATATAACTATAACATGTTTTTCCGTCATACTTACGGTGAACTTATAAGTGTGCAATTTTTTAACATAACTAGCGCAACTCTGTAAATAAGTACGATAAGTTCCAAGCATCATTTCGTAGAACTTACGCCACTTGTATCATGGTTATTACTAAGATGTAAGTTGATCTAGTTGTCCCATTCACAAGTAGGTTATAACGGTTATAAGTAGAAAAACATCTCGTAGGTTCATTGGAGGACACGAACTTCCGCTACTGTGGTAAAGCCTTTGGTGAACGGAACGCTACTCTGTTTATCCACACAAAGGATAACACCCGAACAATCAAGAAGATTAAAGTGGACAGCAGCCAGAGATTGTCAGACAAATTCAGCCCAGATCAGATCACGAAGTTGAGATCTGTTGTTGGCTCGTTGGCATGGGTAGCAAGACAGGGACGCCCTGATTTGGCGTACCGCGTCAGCTATCTTCAAACGGCGATCAACGGCGCGACCGTTGGACTTTTGCATGAGTGCAATAAAGTCGTTTTGGCGCACAAAGCAACTCGAAGATGTCGTGTTTCAATTTCCAAGAGATCATTTGAAGACAACCGATTGGCGCAATGTTGGTATAATCACAGTGACAGACGCTTCAGTCTGCAATGAGAAAAGTTTCAAGTCGCAATAAGGAGCAGATGGCCAACGTGGAGCAGATGGAGGACGAGAATGTGTACATTTACCACGTGCTGCCATTAGGCTTTTCGTCAACGACCATCAAGAGAGTGTGTCGTTCGACGCTCCAAGCCGAGACATAATCGTTGCAATCCGGTATAGAGAGCGGAGACAAAATCCGTGCCCTTATCGCTGAGACGAAGGGTTGTTTGCGCAGCCGCAAGGACTGGGAATCCGTTATGAGATCCTGTGTCCCGCCTTTGCAATTTTCGGATTGCCGTTCGCTTTGCGATCACCTCGACGCAGAGACACTAGCCAAAGTGTCCGATAAGAGACTCGGGATTGAGTTGGCCGCAATTCATGAGAACTTGTGGCAGGGACCTCAGAGGACATGGGACATTTGCCCGAACGGAGGGGATCGTCTTGACTGGATCAGCGCTCACACGATGTTGAGTGACTGTTTGACAAAGAGCATGAAGCCGGACCTATTGCTTTCGGTCCTTCGATCATGCATCTACCAAGTTGACAAGAACAAGGAGAAACGACGAGCAGAACGATGATTCGTAGAAGAGCATAGATTTGCCGAAGTAGAGAAGTTTCACTACCTTGAACGCAGAACGCACTACGGTACTACTTGTAGAAATTCCTGTTTAGATGGCAAATGTACATTAGATCCCTGACAGACTCGAAGAACAGGTTGAGTGTGAATTTTCCCTGTTGTTGGCATCTGGTGTACAGCCGAGTTCTGTCCATGGTACATTCTGCTGCCATTTGGGTTTACAGGGCCCTTGAGCTTCCCCGCGCTTACGCCTGCGTGAAAACGCCGTTGGACGTCGCGGCCGGGACCAAATTCAGACTATGATTATCCATACACTACGCTTGCGCACTCGCAGGTTGAAAACACTCCCACATTTTCCACACCTGGCACTTCCCCAGCTGCAGGAAACAGTTTTAAAGGGTAGCAACTAAGTACTTGAGCTATCTAAGCCAAGAAAAGTAGTGTGTACATCACTAACAAACCAACCCCTCCCCCTAGCAAAAGAGTTGCTGCCAATTTTGTTCGCAGCAACAAAAGTATATCCCGCGATAATGAACTGCGGGCCTTAGATTGGGAAGCAACAGCAAGTGAAAGGAGTTGAAAGACACATGAAAAAAAGAGTTTGCGCGTGTTGCAGTATCTGCCTTGCTATTATTGTCAAGGAAGAAGGCAAGCTTATCCTTACCATATAGTTGATAAGAGTGGTTTAATTTTTAGTATAGATGCAACAAAGTTTAGAAATTAAACCTGCATGCAAAGCAACTTGAAGGTTAGAAGCAGCTTTACTAATGTAGAGCATGATGAGTAGCGTGATGTTATTTTGGGTAATCTATATAACTCACTCTGTTCGCATCAGGCCTAATCCCTAATCCTTGTCGCGGTTTACGGGTTAACGCTTTGCGGGTTGAAGCTCTTGCCCATGTCACTGTGTTTTCGCGGTGTCTTGGGCAGCGCAGATGGCACTCCTTCTCAAGGGGTTCCAACGTTCTGGCTTGAGCAGCAGTATGTAAAGCACGACCACCCCCCCGCCACCCGAAACGAGGAGCCCAAAGCTGCAAAAAAACCTTTCAATGAGCAAAAACAGCTCCACGACCACCCGAAACGACCGAGAAAGGGAACGAAAGGCAAAATCACCACTTTGGAGCCCAAAGCTGCAAGAAATGCTTTCAATGACCAAACACAGCCCCAGGATCACCCGAAACGACCGAGAAAGGCTAGCCGCGCGCTAGCGCTGTGCTAGATCCGCGCTAGCAAACATTGCCCTTCCAACGCTGACTTGCAACATGTCTTTTGTTTCAAGCATGGCTTCAAACTCTGAGATCAGCTGAAAACGGTGCAGCGCTAGTGACGCCTCTTACAATTTGGCGCCAATACTTGTTTGGTCCATGTTTCCTTCATTAACCAGCTGTGTGTGCCAAAAGTAAAGAATATGTAGCAGGCCCATGTGAACACGAGTTTCAGCCATTGTTGGAAGAAGACATTTCGACCACATCCCTGTACTACTTTTGGTTTGGTTCCAACCACGTCCCAGCTCACTTCCACAAGCCCGGAAAAGTTCTTTTGGAGCACTGCCTAGGAGCCTGAAGAACCTGCTCCGAAGTGCGCTGTCAGCAGCCGCTGAGAAGCGACCAGCGATGAGAGAAGTCGTGAAAGAACTGGAAGGAATCGTTCCAACTTTCACTGACGCCTGAAACCCATGGCGGAACGAAGGAATCCGAGGAACGCGGTGTGTTGTTTTCACTGGATGTGACATCCAACTGTTGCTTCGTCAGGTTTTATGATCTTTGTCGTTTTATTGTGTTTTGTCCTTTTGATTCCTTTCTTGAACAGATTGAAACTTGAAACTAACTATTTGCACTCGGCTTAGAGACAAACGTACCCATCACCTCCATGTCGTGTTGGGATTGCAGCCTGTCTAACCGCCATGTTCGAGCCTGCTAAAACCGGCGGGTGCCAATGCAACGCGCCACGAAGATGGTGGCCGAAGTGTTTGACTCTTGAGATCACCGATTTCAATGCCAGATCGTGCATTGCCGAAATAGCGAAAAGGACGCAACATGCGCCGCGCAGTTCTTTTCATATGTGTTCTGTTCATGTCCACGCAACAATGTATGTCAGAAGGTCGGTGTTGAACTTGTTTGAAAGATCGTTCGGGGTGATTGATGCAGCCTCCACCAATGATGTTGCGCGATGTTGTTTTTTATGCCGTTTTATCTTGGGGGGAGGGGTGTGAATTATATATATATACAAATGTAGGTGTGAAGCCCCGGCTCAGTGAAGGGTGGAGCGTCTCCCCACTGGTGACCTGAGTCCTCAGGAGCAGAAACGACCCTCCAAAACGACCGAGAAAGGTGCACAAAAGCCTTTCAATGAGCAAAAACAGCTCCACGACCACCCCAAACGACCGAGAAAGGGAATGAAAGGTAAAATCAGCACTTTGGAGCCAAAAGCTGTTAAAACATCATTTCAATGAGCAAAAACAGCTCCACGACCACCCCAAACGACCGAGAAAGGGAATGAAAGGCAAAATCAGCACTTTGGAGCCCAAACCGGCAAAAAGCCTTTCAATGAACCGAAACAGGCCCATGCCCACCCGAAACGACCGAGAAAGGGCATGAAAGGCAAAATCAGCACTTTGGAGCCCAAACCGGCAAAAAGCCT